ATATATATATATATAATGATTAATATTGCTCCTAATATTTACAGGTTTTTAAGTACCACTATCTCCATTTCACAAAAGGATAAATTACATATTAAGAGGGAAATTCTTAGCACTTAAAAACCATAGAAAGTTGCAAAGAAAAAAGAACATATAAACTCAAATGTTAGAGCAAAATGCTCCAGAAATCTTGGACTATATTTCTGAAACAATTCCCCATCTACTAAAAAAGGAAATAAAGAAATAAAGAATATGAAAAGCTTTTATAAAAGCAAGTCATACAGGAAGGCATATTTACGAACAGTAGATCATGTCCCTAATGATTTCTAAAATAACAAAGGAGAAAGCATTTTTGAGTTTGGTCCATTTCATGCTACTCTAACAGAATACCATTGGTACTTTATAATGAACAAAAATGTGATGACTCAAGGTTTTGAAAGCTGAACAGTCTAAGATCCATTGGTAAGCACCTGGTAAAAGTTTTGTCATCCAATAGAGGAGGGGCAAGACAGGACAAGAGAAGGAGGAGGCTGGACACAAACCTTCTCTTTTCCATAGCAAACACACCCCTGAGGTAAAGCAATCACTTCTGTCAAAACAACATTCTATTCCCAAGGGAAAAGCCCTCATGGTCTAATCATGTCTTCAAGGTCACATTTCCTAACACTACTGAACTGAGGGTCACATTTCTTTTTTTTTCAGAACCGGGGATTGAACTCAGGCCCTTGCGCTTGCCAGTGAAGTGCTTATTCCATTGAGCCATCTCCCCGGCCCCTGAGGGTCACATTTCTAACACAGGAATTTGGGGACACACATTTAAACCTTAGCAGTAATAGTAAACATTAATAAGGTTTAATATTTAAACATTAGCAGTAAACTTTTGTTTTAAACCAAATTTTTCTGTTTAAACCACGATTTAAATAAAATCCATCCAAATTTTACTCTTATGGCAATATTTCAGAATATATACAATGTGAATGATGGCTATCTACATATCTCCTCACAACTATTTCTCAAAAAAGATATTCTAAAGTAATTAACCATACTTTATAAAGTTGGGATCAAGAAGTTGCTAAGGAATGCCTAATTATATATTAATCCACAGGAAACTCAGCTCATTATCAAGTTGCACCAACTTACAATTATGAGATCCTGTCAAAAATTTCCTATTTCTGACTTTTTGTCTCAATGACAGTTTAACAAATACTATTAAGTGTCTGATTTCAATTTAATAATTCTACTATTAAGAAAAATCTAAACTGAATAGAGTGGCATATGGTTGTAATTAGCACTATGGGAGCCTCAGGCAGGAAAACTGCAAGTTTAAGCTTGGGCAACTTAGTAACTATCAAGACCTGCCCAAAATGAAAATATAAAAGAGAGGGTTGGAATACAACTCAGTTCAAAGTGCATGGATTCAAACCCAGTACCAAATGAATGAATGAATGAGAAAAAAGGAAATCTCTAATCATCTTATAGATATTTCCCTGTATATGAAATATAAATGTCAGTTGAGTGTGGGTACATGCCTTATGCTCCTAACATTCTGGGAAGCTGAGGTAGAAGGATCTTAAGTTCAAGACCTAAAAAAATAATAAAAATAAAATAAA